CCCACATCCTCTCTTTGGGACAGCCTCCGAGGAAGAAGATGCCTGATGGAAGAGGGAAGCCAAGCCATCCCCAGAGGCCCCCTTCCCTCTATAGGGGGTGGGCTCATCTGCCAACAAACTGCCCATTTCCTGCCCCACCACCTTTGAAGCCACACTGACCTTTCCTGTACAAGTAGAAGAAGGCGAAGGGAGAGGAGTAATAAGAGATGGACCAGAAGACTGAAGCCTGCAGCAGAGAGACAGGGACAAGCAATCAATATACACACGCACACGCGCGCACACACACACACACACGCACACACACACGCTCCTGCCATTTCCAGGCCTAGGCTCTGAGCAAAGTGAATAATCTTAGGGATAATCACATCAAGTACCTATTCTGCGCACATCATGCACACAGTAAGTGCTCAACACTTGTTAAAAGGCAATGTGTCAGAGCTGGGGAAAACTAGGCATAGGTTCTGAATGCTTCCTCTGATCATCTCCAGACATAATTTAATCACACATAAAGGCTAGTCTCTTTCCACTCAAGTTAATCAAGCCTTTCCAATCAGCCCTGCTCAGGATAGCCCCTGGCCTGGTCCCCAAGAGATGCACAAATGTCACCATAGGAACTCTGCCAGAGAGAGCAGTTGCCTCTGCAGCCAAAGAGGTTAGTTGCCAGGGAGGACAGGTCACTGGGGACTGCAGGGCTCAGCACCTGCAATTAGTCTCAAAGGTAAACAAATTCCCCTCATGGTTCAGGCTGTCCCAGAGAAAGCAGTGCACACACTAAAGGGGGGCACCAGGTATGTGTGCGAGTCAGAGCATGGCTCTGTGTGCGCTGGTGAGGTCTCTGTTGAGTCCAGGGCATCCCCCACCCTCTGGGGCTCTGCCTCCTCCCAGGCTGGGGAGAGAAAGTTCAGGAGGGCAGCTGGGTCTGCAAAGATACAGTTGTCACAGATGCCAGGGCAGACATACCAGGGCCAGGATACTGTCAGCATGTTTCTCCAGGGCACGGGGCTGATAGTACGTATCCTGCCAAAACAGATGGCCAAGTTAAGGACCCTGCCTATTGACAAATCCAACCCCTTCCCTTTCAGAAGCCTTAATTCGTGTTTCCCGGTTCTAGACTCCAAAGCTCTCTCTCCTGGTACAGCCCTAGTTTCTAAGGAAGCTGCCTTTCCCACCCTCACTCAGAACCTGATTCACCCCAGACCATAAGAACCAACTCTGGGAGCTGTGCATGGCAGCCAAAATAGAAAGCAACATTGGATGACTTTTGGCCCTTGTTCCCAACCCAGTTTCAAATGGGATGCGGGCATGTGTGCATATAGGGAAAGGGGTTAAAGACGACGGGAAGACACCATGAAACTTTAAGGGAGAAAGAAGAGCATCAAAAGTAAGAGTAGGTTGATTATGGAAAAAAAAGGGTTGGGGGTGGGCTGCTCGCCAGGGACAGTAAACAGTTGGAGACCACCGATAAAAAGGAGGAGAACATTTAGGGACACAACCTGCCATCACTCCCAGCTCTCCAGAAGGCAGAGACTTTGGGTAGTCGAGGGAGTGGGGTGGGGAACAGGGGATATATGATATGTTGGAGAAATCGTTCTGAAATTCTAGGTCAGGTGGGAGAGAAGATAAAACGGAACCGGGGGAGGCACGCAGGAAGAAATCGAGACTTGGACAGCAGAATCACCCTGCTCCAGAATGCGCGCAGGGTCTCTTCCAGGACTTTAAGAGTCAACTGGGAACGGCATGAACCACGACAGACGGGGGGGGGGGGGGGGGTGGCTCTGGAAGTAAAAGCAAGCAGTGGGAGAAGGAAAGAGAAAGTGGTAGAGAACTGCGAGAGAGGAGGGCGGCCAGTTGACAGGCGTGACTTTAACCCAGGAAGCACAAAGGGCGCAGACTTTGAGGACAACTGGTTGACAAGCTGGCTCCCCCGATTTCCAATAATGGACGCTTCTGGGGAGCAAAGGCCGCAAAGGGGTTTGGGCCGTACCATGTTTTTGACCAGGGGAGAACGCGACTCACCCAGGAGCTGGAAGAGTGGGTAGTGACTGAAGTTGGAGTCTCCGGGACGCCGGACGGGGCCCTTTCGGAGTCCCTTTCCCGGTAGATTTTGTAGAGCCGGGGGCCTAGGACGCAGCTCAGCAGCTTCGCCATGGCCCCGGCTCGGGCCGCTGCTCTCCCAGCAGCAGGTCCCCCTGCTGGCCCCGCCCTCCTCCGGTCGCTAAGGTGTTGCGTGCCCTTGACGTCAGCACGCACTGGCTCCGCCTCCAGTCGGATCAAGACTTTTTTAGCGCTTCTTGAGAAAGGTTTCGCGCAGCTGGATCTACGGGTACAGTGATGGTCAGAAATTAGTTGGAGGCGTTTGGAACGAGGAGAGTTAGAACATTTTCGCAGTTAAATCGTATTGGCAGAGGGTGGAACGGGTGTGCGAAGTTAGGAAAACCTGACGAGAGAAACGAAATAGATTAAGTGTCCAGGAATACATCTAATAAAAGAAATGCACGGTTTTGTGGGAAAAAGTATTAAAAATTATTGAAAGAAATAAACGAAGACTTGAATATATGGAGAACTACACCACAGTTACACATGGAGAAGACTCAGTATTAAGATGTGTGAAATACTGGGAAAAAGAATACGAAGGAATTACCACTTTTAAGGCTGGACAAATCGGGCCTCTCTGGTGGCGCAGGGGTTAAAGACAGCGCTATCAAGCTATCACAGCTACTGCAGCTGGCAAGGGAGAAAGCCAGATGGCACAGCAGACCTCTGCTATCTCACCGGCAGCTCCCCTCAGCAGTGTATTTCAGTCAATCTTCCTGTTCTGTTCCCCACTCTGTCTCTGGTGAATCCTCTCACCCTGGGTACCTCTGGCCTGTACCCCAGTTCTTGTATGCATAAATAAATAAATCTTTAATTAAAGAAAAGAAATAAGAATATTAAAAAAAAGACTGGACAAATCTGAAAACCTTAGTAATGTTGAATGGGAAAAAGAAAACCACAGAATTTGAAATACAACTTAACACCATTGGATAAAACTTTAAAACATAAAATTTAATGATGGAGTAAGTGAAAGAAAGGGAACAAACTCAGGATATTGTCACACAGCATAGAGGATCTTTGATGAATTGAATATGTCTCTTAATAAATATACATTTTTTTTGTGTTTTGCACCTTATAATATGTAACCTCTTTCTTTAAAAAGATTTATTTATTTATACAAGAGCTGGGGTGCAGGCCAGAGGTGGAGGGGAATGAGAGGATTCACCAGAGACAGAGTAGGGAACAGAACAGGCAGATTGACTGAAATACACTGCTGAAGGGAGCAGCGGGCAAGACAGGAGAGGTCTGCTGCGCCATGTGGGTCACCTCCCTGGCCAGGTGTCAAACTCGTGCTGCAGTGGCTGCAGATAGCTTCTTAGTGCTGTGTTTTAACCCCTTGAGCCACCAGGGAGGCCCCCTAATACATAAACTCTTTAGCTTTTATTGCAGTGGACACATATACTGAAAAGAGGACCAATTGAACCTACCCATACAATCAGCACTCAGATCAAAAACACATCACCTAAAACACATCTGGAAGACCCTCTCCAGATCATTACTCCTGGCTACCTAACCCCTTAGGGGTAACATTGTCTTGATTTCTAACCTCATACATTGTTTTGCTGATTTGTAAACATTTTAAAGGAATGGAGTCATACAGTGTGTGTCTTTTGTTTCATCTTCTTACAGTTTTAGTCTGGCTTCTTCCAGTTTGTGAGATTCAACCTTGTTGCATGTCGTTGTGGGTTTGTTCATTCTCTGCTGTGAGATATTCCATTATGTGAATATTCCAGTTTGTTTAGCCATTATACGGTTGGGCTTTAGATATAGTCTTTGGTGTGCATGGAATAGTTCATCAAAAATAATGTTAAAAATAAGTAGCTTTGGAACTCCCTGGTGGCACAAGGGGTTAAGATGCAACCTATGGGGGCCTCCCCGGTGGTGCAGGGGTTAAAGACACAGCATTATCAAGCTATCACCACCCACCTAAGCAGGAGTTCGATCCCAGCCCCAGCTGGCCAAAGAGTAATCCACATGGTGCAGCAGACCGCCACTGCCTCATCTGCTGCTACCCTCAGCAGTGTATTTCAGTAGATCCACCTGTTCTATTCCCCACTCTCTCTGGTGAATCCTCTCACCACCACCACCCCACCTCTGGTCTACACCCCAGTTCTTGTATGCATAAATAAATCTTTTTTTAAAAAAAAAAAGACGCAACCTATGAAGCTATCTGTAGCCACTGCAGCAAGAGTTTGTTCCCCGCCCAGGGAGTTGCCCACATGGCTCAGCAGACCTCTCCTGACTCGCCCGCTGCTTCCCCTCAGCAGTGTATTTCAGTCAGTCTGCCTGTTCTGTTCCCCGCTCTGGCTCTGGTGAATTCTCTCACCCTCCCGTGCTTCTGACTGTACCCAGTGCTTCTTGTATAAATAAATAAATCTTTTTAAAAAAATAATACACTTATTGGGGACTCAAAAGAGGTCTATGTTATGCAAGGCAGCCATGGGCAAAGTCATCCTAAATCATCTGTGAAGTGCTGACTGTGTGTGCCGTCTTGTGCAGGCTTCCATTCTGTGAGACCAACATGAAGACATGAGCTTTCACTCATGGCCGGCCTCTTAGGGATGGAGGAGAGAATACAGAAAGTACTTCCAGACTGGTGGGCGTGGGCAGCCATGAGCCCTTCTGCTCAGACTTCTTAGCATGGAGAGTCTTGGATCTAATTCCTCAGCCAGATAGGTAAGGATGTCATTGTCAGAACAATGTGAACTGAGTCTTTTCCCCTCAGGACAGAAAGGTGGTGGTCCTTTTTACCCAGTAGACATGCAGCTGGGCATTATCTCCCCAGCATTCTCCTTCCCTCCAGAGACGCCATGTCACTCCAGACAGGCAGTGCGAGCCTTTATCTGGGCTTTGTTTCCTCCTTGGGGACACCAGGTCCAGGCTAGAGGACTTGGCAGGCTCTTCTCATGGCGGTCTTATTCCTCCTCCTTCTATTTCTCTGTGGGTGCTCCCGGGCTCCTGCAGGTAAGGAACTGGAGGTGGGGGGATTCTTCAGCTGTTCACAAGGTTGGGAGGGACTGCTGTTATTTCTCTGGGAAGGCAGCTAACTCAAAAAGATAGATTTACCACGAATGACCACTTGGCTGGGCGAGTCTCAGAAACAATGAGAGTCCAGGTCGTGTACAGTTTCCTCTAGAAAATAAGAACAGGTGAATAAATACTTCCAGAAAAAAAGAAAAATAGGAGGTAGAGAGATGGACATCTGCCAACTCTTCCAGCATTTGCTCTCTGGCCTTCAGATTCCTTCAATCACAGGGGGCGTGGGAAGGAAAGCCCCTGCTCTCTCTTGTTACTTCACTTTTTGGTAGCTATTGTTGGAGAAATAGGCTCACAACCAGGCTCCTCCGTCCATGGGAACCTGAGAAGGCAAGGAAGTCAGCGGTAGGGAGGGTGTTGTTGATCTGATAGACATCTCTGGCCTCTCACAATGCCTTCTCTACAGATAACATCCAGGACATCTATGTGGCCTTGGGGGAGACATTGGAGCTGCCATGCCCCACACCACCCAACCTGCAAGGGGACGAACTCTTGTCCTGGTTCCGCAGCCCTGCAGCAGGCTCGTCCACTGCCATGGTAGCTCAAGTCCAGGTGGCCAGGCTGGCACCAGATCACTGGAAACCTAGAAGGGAGGCCAGGCTCAAACTTCTCGGGAACTACTCTTTGTGGCTGGAAGGGTCCAAGGAAGGCGATGCTGGGCGCTACTGGTGCACTGTGCTGGGGCAGCAGCACAAGTACCAGAACTGGAGGGTGTATGATGTGTCTGTGCTCCGAGGTGAGTAGAGCATGCAGACGGGGGTGACTGGGAGCTGGGCAAGCCCAGGCAACGAACTGAGGGATCCCTCTTTCCCCGCAGGATCCCAATTATCTGCTAGGGCTGCAGATGGCTCCCCCTGCTCTGTCCTCCTGTGCTCTGTGACCCCTACCAGGCGCCTGGACTCTGTGACCTGGCTGGAGGGGAGGGGTCCTGTGAGAGGCCATGTGCAACCCTTCTGGAGTGATGGGGCAGCTCTGCTCTTGGTGTGTCCTGGGGAGGGGCTTCCGGAGCCCAGGGTGCGTAGACCAAGAGTCATCCACTGTGTCATGCCTCAGAACAAAGGGCTCAGCTTTACCCTGGCAGGTAAACTGAGGGAAGATATGGGAGCACTCTGGGGAGGTGTGTTTCCTCTGGCAATCCCGCTCCCTCAGGCTAGAGGAGGAGATTAGAGTGGAGGCAAATCTGTTATTAGCCAGGCCAGAGGGGGTGGCTTCTGCTGGAACAAACTACCCTCTGTAGGAAGAGGACTTTTTTCATTGAATCCATAATGGAGAAAGGGGGTTGGTTAAGTCAGTTTTCCAACAGAACAGGCCATCAGCCAAGAGGAAGAAGGATTCTGGTGGAATATACATTTGTTTAGAAATAGAGTCATCTGTAATTTTTGTGGAATATGTCTTAGCAGAGAGGACGAAAGTAACAATGATTGCTGGGAGAGCTGTCTTTGAAGAAAGGATGTATATACACGGATGTTATAATGGCCCTTTGATAGTGAAGGCAGGGGAAAAAAAGTATAATTGTTTTACAATAAAAAAAAGTCCATTATAGAGGAAGAGAACACTACTGGATATAAAATACCCCATTTACAAGGCGGGAGGGAGGAACAAATGACCGTTATTTTCGTAAGCCAAGGCCAATTAATGGACAGTGATGGATCTTATGTCCCTTTACACCCTCAGTGCCTAATAATGTGCCTGGCATGTGGTGGGCATCAGCAAATGCTTACGGAGTGAGTGGAAGAATAAATAGATGGAAAGCACTTCATTTTTTCTTGAAAGGGTGGATTATTATGAAGGGAATGAGGAAAAGTCACAATTACGGCCGATGGTCCGCTCTTGGACTTAGCTGTCCATTTGTGGGTGGATGGGGGGACGGGCATTCTCTACTGATGTTGGCTGAGGGCAGGGATCTGGAAAGGGATCAAGTGGGGTGGTAGATACTGGGGGTAGGAAAATTTAGGAAGGTTTCATTTGGAAGAACCCATTGGATTATGGGGGGAAGCCTTTCTTTGCAGTACAGGGATAGACACCCTCACAGCCTCCCTCCTTATCCCTTACTGCAGCTTCCACAGATGCCTCTCCTGCCCATTGTGCCTCTCCCTCGGGCTGGGATGTGCCATGGATCCTGATGCTGTTGCTCACAGCAGTTCTGGGGTTCACCATCCTGGCCCTCAGCATCACTCTCTGCAGGTGGAGGGCCCAGATGGCTCACTGCAAAGGTGAGTCAGTGGACGCCAGGAGAGGGCTGGGCTCACTTCTGCCTCTAGCCTGGTCTTCACTAGGGGAGGAGGGTGCTAAGGATTAGAGCTCTGTGTTATCTGGTGAGTTTACCACACCCTGCGTTGCTCCTTCTCTCCCAGAAGCCTCGATTCCTCGCTTCAAGCCTGAAATCCAGGTCTATGAGAACATCCATTTGGCCTGTCTCAGGTGAGGAGTAACTAGGGCTTAAATCCTAGTTTAAACACAGGCTTAAATCCCAGAGGGGACTGGGGTTGGATGGGGATGGGGCCCTAGTTCTGAGGTGGAGAATGGAAGTATCCTTAATTTATCTTTCTGCTTTGCAAAACCCAGACCACCTGCCCTCAAGACCAGATGATCTCAGTAACATCTCCTGCTGTGAAGTGTGACCCGCTGTCTCCATGGCCATCTGGCACCTGAAGGAGCCCCTGAAAACCTTGGTGGGGGGTGGAGGGAGGAGGGCTGAGAGTGCTGTCTCACAGCCCAGCTGGTCTTCAGCAGCCAAGAGATATGTGTGTGTGTGTGTGTGTGTGTGTGTGTGTGTGGTGTGTTGGGCTGCAGCTGTGAGGGTGTGGGGAGGGGAGGAGAGGGGCCGAAAGCAAGAAGAACATTATTCCATGATGCTGCTTTCAAAAAGATGTGGTCTCCTATCTTTCAGCTGCCAGCGCCAGTGGAGTGGTGGCGCTGAGCCCCTATACTATAGGACTGAGGGAAGCCTGAGCTGGCTGGCAGGGTATGAGGGGCGAGGATGGGCAGAAAGGAACCAGGATTCCAGAGGCTTAGCAGTGGTGTAGAATCGGTCCTGAGGATTCAAAGGACAAATGGGGGAGACTGAAGAAGAGAGAAGGAAGACATTTAAGTCAGAGTAAGGAAAGGGGTGGAAAAAGGGATAGAGCAAATTAGAAGCACAAAGTGCTATCTGGGAGTCTGGGAGTGAGGGACAGAGAGAATGGAAAGAATCTAAGTTACCTCTAAATTAAGCCAGAGAAGGGAAGTTGAGAGAGAGTGAGTACCTTTAACCAGACCCAGATGTCCTTAGACGGAAGGGGAGGGAACTGAGACAGAATAGGGGTGCTTGGGTTTGCCCCCCCCCCCCGCCCCCTCCCGGGGACATCCTCCTCATCCTAACTGCTCCATTGTTGCATCCGGAGCAGCTTATCTTCACCCTGACATCCTGGAAGCTCTAAAAGTCACATGCCATCTCCTTGTGCAGGGTGGGAGTGTCCTGTGGCTGTGGACGGAATCCCGGGTGGGGTGTGTTGTGTGCCCCTGCCTGCCACGGACAAGTCTGGGCTGGTGGAAAAGGGAGGGCATCAATGTTCCCAACTCATCCATCCACTGGGCACAGGCAGAACTGAGCTGGATTCCCAACCACACCCACATAAGCAAACTCAGGCAGGTGCCCTTTTGGGTTTCTGCTTAAGCTTGGGTCTCACTGGAGAAAAGCTTTCACCTAAGTCTCGCCTGAAACTTTCATGCTACAGTGGCTTAAGCTAAGCTATTGCAAGAACAAGGATGTGAATGACAGAGATGGAGAAGGAGGCGAATGATTCAGGTTCCAGCACCTCAGCCCCACCCACCAAGCAGCCATGGTTTGTTAGTTTGTTTTTAGAGAGCTCTCATGAGTACACACACACACACACACACACACACACACACACACACACACACGAATGTTACCAGACTGCAAGATAGCACTTTTATTACATTACTCGTCATAGTTCCCCAAGCCTGCATTCCTGAGCTCCCCACACCCAAATTCATCTTTCCTAGCAAGTCTCTCCTCCTCACAGTACCTGGTGCCCTTCAACCCCCTTGTCTGGAACAAGACCTTGCCTTGCTGGAGACCTAGGACTGAGAGAAGACATTAGCAGTGGGCAGCTGGAGAAGACAGAAGACATAAAAGACAGGTTCTTTATGGACCTGGGTTCCGGGCAGGTGCCTGCAGGGACTGGAGCTCTATCCATGGGGATCAGGACTTGGGAGGTGGCTGTGCAGGGCCAGGATCTGAGGTCTACAAAATCAGCGTCCTGGGCTTATCTTGAGTCTGCAGGTTTTTCAGGGCTCTGGCCCTTTTGTGATGCTCAAGGAGTCCTGGGTCGAGGGCTGCAGACCGAAGCAAGGCTAGTGGAGGAGATAGCCTCCCCAGATCCAGCTGGTGAGGAGGGGGAACAGGGCGGTGAGGAGCGGGCTGGGGGGCTCCTGCAGCTTGGTGGCCGTGTTACACAGGTCCTGCTCACAACAGTGGTGCTGTAGAGCATAGTTTTGTTCCCGGTAGGTGGTGTGGCCAGGCAGGGAGCACTGGGCACGTGGGAGGCAGCCCTTCCTTTGGATGATCTCGTTCTGCTCTGTGGAGTGAAAGGGCATGCTTAGCCAGGGACAGGAGGGAGGCAAGGGCCAGGAGAGAGCAGAGAGGGCAGGATGGATGGATAGGGGAGCCATGGAGACGGCCTTTTGTGCCAGAGTCCTACCTGAGGTGCCAGTGCTGATGCCACAAGCTTCATCATCTTGACACTTCGTGACAGCTGGGTAACAGGGTTTGGAGAAGCCACAGGTGTAACAGAGCCGCACTGGGGTAGGGGATGTGGCGAGGCCTGTGGTTCGAGGGGCATCAGGACAGGAAGAGATGCAAACAGGCCGTGTTGGGGTTGAACCCACATCCCAGGCAGGGATGAACAGGGAGGTGACACACAAGGTGCAGCAGGCACAGAAGTGGAGAAGAGACAGGGAAGGGAGGGGAGTCCTCACAAGGAAAGAAAAAGACCCCAAGGCAAGAGGGATGTAGGGATAGCGAGAGACGCACAGATGTGGACAGAAGTCGACAGAATTGGAAGAACATAGAGAATGCCATAAAGACAGACAGGTGTCATAAGGGTAGTGAAAAAGTTAAGCAGATGGTGCCAGAGACAGAGGACAACACAAGAATTGACATGGACCAAGTGGCCAGCCAGCAGGGACAGGTAGAGAGACAAAGGCACAGAAGAAACTGTTATTCTCAAATGCCTTTGAAAAGAAACTTTTCCTGCTCACTTTATCAGGCTGGGCTGAGGCCATTCCCAGGAGCTCTTCTTTCTAGTGCCCTACAGCTCTCCACCTGGCCTCTTCTAGTCCATCCTCCCTTCCACCCCCAGCCCTCAGACTCCTCCACAAGCCCCTGCCCCAACCCTCAGCTCACCCCTTCCCTTGCCCCTTGATCCCTTACCCAGAGCCCCACAGAGGAACAGACTGCGGAAGAAGATGCTGGAGGTACCCATGACTGATCTCAGGGCTCAGGAGGCTGGGAGAATGTGAGCTGTACCCCTGAGTTCCTGAGAGTTAGAGAGTCAAGCATCTGAGTGAGACAGGGGGACTGGTAAACAAACACACCTAAGGAGTGAATCTGGAGAGGTGCCAAGACCAAGTTCACCAGCTTGACAGCAGGGCTCAGGCCCACCAGCTCTGGCACCCCACTCCTCTCACCCACTCCCACCCCCTGCTCTAGTCTTCTCTTGCCTGGAGGGTCTTCTCTGTTCTCAAAGTGTTGGTCTCTTAGCTGTGTCTGCCACTCCCGAGTAGTGTCTGTCACCTCGCCTCTACTGCTCCTCCCCTCCCCTAGTCTCCAAGCTGTTCTCTGCTCTCCCAACTTGTCTCCCTTTTGTTTTCTCTGTCTTTCCCCAGCGCCCCCCCTCATGTTGACAGCTTTCAAGGTCACCTTCCTAAACAGCCCTGGCCCAGATCTGAGTATGGTGTTTGAGTGTGCATCAACAATCTCCCCTCCCACCCTATTCCCTATACACAAAGCCCAGCTGTAAGCCGGGACCCCACCCAGCTTCAGATCCCTTTGATTCCCCCAAGCCTCAACATTCCTACCCCATAATTATCCCTCCCAGCTTTACTACCTTGGAGGAAAGAATCCATCACGGGTGGGGCCAGAGGGAGGATGTGCTCCCACTAGAGCTGGAGTAGGTTTGGGAGCAGGGTTCAGAAAGATGAGGAAGGATTCAAATTTTGGGTGGAGGGTGCAGAGTTTGGAAGACTGAGGTTTCAGAGATTGGAAATTTGGTACAAGACTGGACCAGGAGGAGAGAGATCCTGGGGGCTGGGTGGGCAGCGGAGATACAGTGCCCATGAGAAGCAGTTTTCATAAACTTTTATCTTAGCACCACTTTACACTCTTAGAAACCACTGAAGACCCCAAACAGCTTTCTTTGTGTGAGTTATGTTGATATCGACTATGCCAGAAATCAAAATGGAACATTTAAACTAGGTTCATTTAAAAACTGAAATAATAAACCTATTACATGTTAATAAAGCACAGTTTCATGAGAAATAACTTCTTTCCCAGCAACACAGAAGAGTGGAGTCGCTTTCCATTTTTGGGAGTCTCCACAGACTAATGTCAAACTTCATAAAAGAGAGCTGGCTTTTCATGTCTGTTTCTTCATTCATTTTGTTGGAATATGTCGCTTTGGTTAAAGTATATGAAGAGGATCTGATACGTGTTTGGAAAAGGAACACCCTTGAGGCGCCACTAAAAGGGTCATAGAGACCCCCCGCTGTTCTGGGGCCACTGTTTTAGAGGATGTTTGCGGAGGATGCAGGAGTTCTAGGGTTCCAGAGGATGCTGAGTGCTCTTTCTCCTAAGAGAGGCCCCTCCCTGTCCCCATTGGGGCCCCTGGTGCCCTCTGGGGGAGACTCTTTCCTCCCTTTTTTATTGCCCTATAAAGTCCAAGGCCAGGGGGGTATAAGACTGGCAGTGCCGGGTCAGGGAGGGGGTTGGGTGGGAGGGAGCCGCGAGACTGACACTAGCAGACACAATGAACCCCCAACTTGTCTGGATCCTGCTCTGCACCTTGCTGGGGGCTGCTCTGGGTAAGGAGGCAGCCAAGACGCCCCGACAGACCTGTACCCCTCTGCCAGCCCCCTCCCTGAGAGCCTAGGTCTAGCATCTCCTCTCTCCTGCCAGGAAACCGAATGCGGTGCTACGACTGCACAGGAGGCCCCGGCAGCTCCTGCAAAGAGACCACCTGCCGAGAGGGCGAGCGCTGTGGCTTCCTGGAGCGCAAACCCCAGTCTGGCCCGATGCAGACCAAGCTCTCTGGAAACCGTGAGTGCTGAGTTTCTCTGTCTCCCAGCCCTTCCTGGCCTCTGGCCCCACTTCAGTCCTTCTGGCTTTCAGGATCTTCCAGATTCAGTGTGGCTCTGTGCAGATGGTGCTGTCAGAGTAGAGCAGCTGGTGCCAGGGCAATCAGAGGCGCCCTCCTAGTGCTCTGACCCCCCCTCCTCTTACTCCCCAGCATCTCCTGGGCCTGTTCACTACAAATGGTTGGAAAAGCTCTGTTCCTGGAAGGCAGGGACCAAAATATGAAACCAACTTTCAGGGATAAGTTAAAGTATCAGTTAAGGACCAGGGAGGTATATTGTGTGTACGTTTAATTTTTTACTTTGAAATAATTTTAGATTGACAGAAAAGTCACAAAAAATAGTTCAGGAGTGTCTGTGTAGCCTTTCACTCAGCTTCCTCTGTTCCCATCTTACACAGAGCCATAGAAAAATTATGGGAAAGTAACATTGCCTCAACATGGCTGGCTCATCTCTAGACCTCATTCAGTTGAGCCAATTGTGCCTCTCATGCTCCTTTTCGGGTCCAGGAGTTTACCTAGAACCCCACATCATATTTGAGTTCTTGCGTCTTCTTGGTCTCCTATCTGTGAGGGTTGTCAGTCTTTCTTTGCTTCGATGACCTTGACACTTTTGAACAGACAAAAGAAGTGATTTTATAGAATATCCTTCAATTTGGATTTTATCTGATATTTTTTGATGATTATATTGAGGTCAGGAGTGTTGGGGGGAAAATCACACAAATGTTGTTGGTCTTTTTTTTTTTTAAAGATTTATTTATTTATGCACACAAGAACTAGGGTACAGACCAGAGATGGAGGGGGGATAGGGGACAGCTGGAGGGGGAGTGTATGAGAGGATTCACCAGAGACAGAGCGGGGAACAGAACAGGCAGACTGACTGAAATACGCTGCTGAGGGGAGCAGTGGGCGAGTCAGGAGAGGTCTGCTGCGCCATGTGGGTTGCTCCCTGGCCAGCCAGGGATCAAATTCGTGCTGCAGAGGCTGCAGATTGCTTCACAGTGTGGTGCTTAACCCCTTGCACCACCAGGGAGGCCCTGTTGGTCCTTTCTGATGTATTTATTTCATAAGGGTGCTCACCATGTCAATAAACTCTGATCATTCAGTTTTGTTATTTTTTTGGAAAGATTTATTTATTTATGAATACAAGAGCTGGGGTGTAGGCCAGAGGTGAGGGGGTATCTGAGGATTCACCAGAGACAGCATGGGAAGCAGAACAGGTGGATTGAATGAAATACACTGCTGAGGGGAGCAGTGGGTGAGACAGGAGAGGTCTGCTGCACCATGTGGGTAGCTCCCTGGCCAGGGATGGAACTTTTTTTTTAAAATATTTATTTATTTATGCATACAAGAGCTGGGGTACAGGCCAGAGATGTGGGGGGCGGGGTGAGAGGATTCACCAGAGATAGAGTGGGGAACAGAACAGGCAGAATGAAATACACTGCTGAGGGGAGCAGCAGGCGAGACAGGGAGGCCCAGGGATGGAACTTGTACTGCAGTGGCTGCGGATTGCTTCATAGTGCTGAGACTTAAGCCCTTATGCCACCAGGGAAGGCCCTTTGAGAGAGGTGCTTTTTGTGGGCAGAGAATTCCTTTGGGTTCCTTGAAGTTACATCCGCTCTGCCCACTGAGAAGGCAGATCCTCAGGCCAGCAGTCTAACAACTTGGTCTTATCCGCTCTCTCAGCCTCAGTGACCTTGATTCATCACCATCCAACCTGTGTGGCGGCCCATCATTGCAATCAAGTGGAGACCGAGCTGGTGGGAGACACGACTTACACAACCCACAGAGACTGCTGCTTTGGAGACCTGTGCAACAGTGCTGTGCCCGGGGCCCAGGCGTGCATCCTGGTGGTGGCAGCCACTGCCCTGGCCTGGCTCTTGCCAGGACTCTGGATTGGGTAATGGAGTAGGAGAAAGGGAAGGGAGCAAAGGAGAGAATGAGATCTGAACTGAGAAGACCACCACTCTTCTGTAAACCATTAAAGTCTATCCACCACTCTAGAGCTGACTGGAAGATTCCATCTATCTTTTGTGGAGGGGGAGGCTGAAGGAGGAATATGGTGGCATCTGAGCTCTGGCTTGGGGGTTACCAAGCATTATGGGGCTTATGTTATGATGGTACACTCCATAAGCCCAAAACCACTAAACCCCAAAGGGTGATGGAGAATCTGCCCTAAGTGAGGGCACTGCCCTCAGTGCCCTAAGTCCTGTTGCTAGGAGAATCTTCCCCAGCAACAAGGATCACTGTGGAGAGCAGGTGCTGGGCTGAGTGGGGGTTGGGGGGGCACCAGGATTCTGTGAGCCTAGCTGCCTGGGTTTGTTCCCCTCCTCTCATTTGCAAGTTGACTCTCACTATGACTATTTTGAATTGAGAAAGGGATCGTAAGCATTGTGATTGGAGGAGTGGCTTGGTATTCCAGTTAGCAACCAGCCCAGGTGAGGTATGACTCTAACCAGAGGGTCTGAGGCCTGGAAAGAGGGGCCTAGTCCATCCTCATGCCCCATACAACTTTCCTACCCTTTCTGGGGAGCCCTCAGGCCAGGCTGCACCTCTTTCTTGGCAGTACATCAGAGGTGTGACCTAAATTTAGGATAGGATTGTTTCTCTAAACACTGGGACCTGTGTGCCAGCCCCAGACGCTGGAAAGGAGTATGAAGGCCTGAAGAACCAGTTTCTCCATTTCCCAGTCCAGCCTCCCAGGGACACTCCCTAAAGAATTCTTGGGAGAGCATATGGGCCTGAGAGTGTTATTTCCTGGGAGAACTGACACTTAGGTCTTCTGATAATAAATGCACAATTTATCAGACATAAACATTTATTACTCAAAATGGAAAGAGGTGAGCATGGGGATGGGGTACACTGGGGACCAGGATTTGGGGAATCAGCCCCAGACAGTGAGGTCATTGGATTCTTCCTAGGAACCCTCATTGGGAGCATGACAGGACCCCCATTTCAGGACCGCATCCCAATCCGTTCCCAAGCAGGACACAGGAGAGTGCAGGAGGCAAGGTGGGGAACCCTTCTAGGGGCCAATGGAAGGTTTGGTGTGGTCTAGAGGGAGATGGGGAGGGGCTTGGGAAAAGCAGAGTGGAGGGTATGGGGTGGGAAGATGGATATGGAGACTAGTATCTAATTAAAGAAATGTGAAGGATCTTGAGAAATGCTTTTCAGAGCAAAGGGAGCTAGGGAGAGACCCTTTGAGGAAGCCAGGGATATGGTGGGAGGCAGGTCGGTTGTGGAGCAAGTTCTAGTGCAGCAACCAGAGACCAAGGCCAGCCAAAGAGGTAAGGAAGACAAAGGCCAGGCCAGGGGTGGGTCGGGCAGCAGGGCTATTACAGCTGTCCTTGTCGCAGCAGGTGGTGTTGTAGGTCAGGCCCAGCTTGTGGTTGGTTTGGTTGTAGGCCTCCTGACAGGGCTCTTTCTCTGTGCCGCATCGAAGATTGGAATAAAGCCACATCTTACCTGGGGGCAGGAATAGCAGAGGGGTCAGCTAGGATGGGCAACTGGCACGTCTGAGCCTCCCTCTCCATCCATGTACCCATCCAGGTTGTCTTCCTTCCTAGCCTTCCTGAATTGCCCCCTGTATCTTCTCACTCTAAAATTCCTGAACCCCCTTCCCTGGCCCCTTACCCCAATCCTGCTTCTATTACTTGCTGGCTGGGAGACCTTGGAGCTGTTACTGTCACTTTATAAGGCTGTTTTCTCAGTATAGTAAATAGTACCTACATCATAGAGCCTGCCACCTATAATCCTTGGCTGAATATTATCATTGCTGTAATTCTCAATTTCATCTTAGTCTTATCCCCAGTTGGGCCCCAGCCCCAGCCCTAGTGTCCCTCTGACCCCACCCTCTCCCTAGCCCGAGCCATAGTGTCCCTCATTGACCAGGCCCCTCTCCCCGCTAAAGGGCAAGTTACCAAGGTACACGTTTGTTGTCAGGCATCTTTGCCCCCGTTCCAGGAGGCAGGACTGGCGATCAACACAGCCCAGCACAGGGACCTTGTAGCAGGAGTGACAGCGAATTTGAGCTGGAAAGACACAAGTCAGGTTAAAGTGATGGGGTGACTCACCTGGGCATGAGCTGAGCTAGGGGCAGGGTGGAAAAGAGCCAATCAAGTAGGTGTTTCAACCTGTTTGGCCTGGTAGGGACAGGGCAGGTGAGTAATGCAGAAAAAGTAGAAGTGGGTGAGGGTGGGGTTGTTGCTCTGAGAACAGTCCACACCCTAAATATCACCCTTCCCTCCACCCCCTTTGCGCATAAGTCAAGGGGGCACAGAGCTATTAACAACAATGGGGGGGGGGAGGCTAGATGGACAGATGGAAAGTGAGACCACAAGGAGGGGTGGAGACCACAAGGGAGAATGGAGGAGACAGCAGTGGCGGGTGAGGGGAAGGAATTCAGAAGACTGGGTTATATATGGAGACTTGAAATTGGAAGATGAAAAATAAAATCATGGAGGTTACAACACTTGGAAGTCGAGGCTGACAAGAAAGCCACCCATGACCAGCTTTAGTAAATGACTTTTCACCTCCTGGGCCCGTCAAGAGCGTGGGAAGAGGAATTAGAGTTGAGAATCCCTTCGCCCCAGTAGTTCTCTGATGGAAAGGAACAGTATCTGGGAGACAGATCATCAGATCTTGCCTGGGTATATTACAACATGGAAAGGGTGGATGTAGAAGGTGGCACCCCCAAAGTTTCTGCCTCAGAGAATTCAAGGTTTGGTGGATGAGCCAGGTGACTGCACTTGGATGAAACCCACTGAGGGTGTGTGGGGTGAACAGCCTGACATCCCCTACATGGAAGGCCAGGTTCCTCAGGGGGCTCTAAGAGGTTACGGGAACCCTCTACCAAGCTAGGGGTGTACACACACCAGGGACAATGAACAAAGGGGAACTAAGAAAAGGCACTGGCAGAGGACTGAGCAAGAAGTTCCTGATGGACTAGGTGCAGAGTGGGGGGTGCAAAGGAAGCCCCAGCCTGGATTCCTAGGTTCTGAAAGGACACCTGATTGTGTGCAGGTGGTTAGAGGAGAAAGCAGGTAAACTGGATCCTGGTACATTTTATATTAGAGTGGGGTTGGAGAGGAACTCAATATCAGAATTTCCAAGCGGGGTATACTTTGGAGTGAAAAGTGTGAACCAGGAGCCCTGGCAGGTCAGATGAGAGGGACTGGAGGTGAAGAGAAGCCTGAAGGATAAGAACTGGATCCTGTCACAGGGAGGACTGTCCTAGGAGCATAGGAGAGGGGTGCCAGGTGGGCCTGGGGTGGGTACTTGGGATGCTGAGTGGTGGGTAGTGTGGGCAGAGGGTGGGGCATAAAAGTCCTGAGCCTGTAAGCCAGATCCCTGGGGCCCCCAGTGCTTACCTGAGATTCCACAGAACAGAGAAGCCAGGATGAGCAGCAAAAGGCCTTTCATGGTGAGGATCTTGGCAAGGGGAGCGACTGGCAGCAGACAGACTTTCAGAAGCCACCTCTGGAAGGTGAGCGGTCTTTTGGATTTTATAATTCTCAACGGTCCCTCCCCTCCCTGCCTCTGTGGCCCCTCCTCCACTTAAGCACAGGTGAGTTGACTTAGGAAAAGACTGAGCAGTGGGGAGGGACTGAGGAGTGGGTGGAGTTGTGGGGATGGGAGAGAGGTTGTGGGAGGGGAGGGGCACTAGTGGTCAACTCAATTTTGGGTCTTGGTTGCAGATTAAGACCCCTCTCCCTGCATTCCAGTGGCCCTCTTCCTACTCCCTCCCCCCAGTCCTCTGAAGGAGCATCCCCAAATGCCCAGTAATGGTAAGGTCTACTGGTTCCTGGGCTATGAACAATGGGGTGTGACCAAAGATGAGTGACAAATTTGGGGTTATTGGTAGGGTTATTTGGGGTTATTGGTATGTGAGCAGAAAATGAGGATAAAAGGGACCACATTAATTTTGATTCTCTGTCCTGCTCAGGCAAAGAATGAAGGAATAGGGTTTGCGGGATGTCACCGAGTGTCTGATATCACAGCAGTGGAGGAAGGGGCTGGGATGACCTGCTACGGAAGGGCGACCTCAGCTCCCCTGTAGGATCTCTTGCCCTGGTTACTGTCCGGCTTGTTGTGAACTCAGTTGCTCCAGACCAGAGAGAGCCCCTGAAGTCCTGGGTGTGGGGCATATGCACCTGCTCCAAAGTGCCTCCACAATCAAAACCTGTCAGTTTGGGTGGGGCACCACTGCCTGGAGGCACAGTGTGGGCACTCAGAGGTGAGAGGGAAGCTAAAATAAGAAAAGAAATAGTGATAATAATGGCAAGAGTAGTGCACCTATATGTCAGTCATTGTTGTAAGCATTTTACAGGTATGACTTTATTTAGTTCTCATGATACTCTACCAGATAGGTGCTTTAAAGCAACCTAGGCCCAAAAGAGTTAAGCAACTTGCCGGCATCATGAAGCCAGTAGATGACGAAATCAGGATCTGAACTCAGACTGCCGGCCTCCAGAATTCCTGATGCTAAGACCACAGTTTCGCTGTAGGAGTTGGTTAAAGAATACTAAGATGCTTGTAAATGGCCAGAGCACGAGTCGTGAGTGAGCGTTGTCAGAAGGCTGCGAGCTTGTCAGCTAGGATTCCCAGAAGGATCCCCGCAGTTGGTGGCCCCGCCCCCGCTCTTATCCGAGCCCACAGACCCGCTCTCCACCCCCATCCCCCAGCTTCCCTCCGGTCTCCTCCACCGATTCTCTCCCCTCTTCTCCCCACCACATCCCAGCCATGGCCCTGTTTCTGCAGCTGCTGCCGCTGCTGCTGTCGAGGGCCCAGGGCGAGCCCGCGGGTAAGCGATCCCTGGGAAAGTCGGCTCGTTGGCGCGGAGCTTAAAGACTGCAGCAGGGGAAGAGGGTGCCTGGTGGTTGTGATCTGGAAAGACCCAGGATAGGAGGACAGCAGAGAGGAGAGGAGGCGGGGAGTGGGTGTGTGTCATGTGGACTTGTCCTAACATCACCCCCGGCCTCCCCTAGCCTCACTGGACGGCAGTCCCGGGGACCGGGTGAATCTCTCCTGCATAGGGGTCTCGCATCCGATCCGTTGGGCCTGGGCGCCTAGCTTCCCCACCTGCAAGGGCCTGTCCAAAGGACGCCGCCCGATCCTGTGGGCCTCGGCGAGCGGGATCCCCACGGTGTCTCCCCTCCAGCCCTTTGCTGGCCGCCTACGAGCCCTGGACCCTGGTATTCGGAGGCTAGAGCTGCTCCTGAGCGCAGGGGACTCGGGCACTTTTGTCTGCAGAGGCCGCCACGAGGACGAGAGCCGTTTGGTGCTTCACGTGCTGGGGGATGGCCCCGAATGCAGGGCTCCCGGCCATTCCCGGGGTAAGTCTAGACCTTCGGACCCCCCCACCCCAGGAGGGAGGGAGGCTTTCCCTGGGATTGCTCGGTCCTCGCACCCGGATCCAGCATCCACCATTTCCCTCCACGGTTTCCCCAGGGTCCGTGTATCCCCTGATCCTGATCCTGCTGCTGGGCGCTGGGCTGGTGCTGGGACTCGGAGTCTTGGGCGTGGTCTGGTGGCTCCGCAGGTGAGCACGGGGGCGGGGCCTGGCTTAATGAGTCTGGACCCAAGGCCCGAAGGGCGGGACCCGAACCGTCGTAGACAGGGAGAGAGAGAGAAAAAAAGCAATCCAGGTGTAGACCTCTGGGGTGTGGTTTGAAGACTAGGGGAGGTCAGAAGGTGGGACCCGGCCTCAAGCTGGTGGGGGAAGCCTAAGTCGTTTTGTGGGTTGAGGCCGGTAAGTTGCCTGGTGTTTGTCGGCTGGACCCGGAACAAACCAGACAAGACTCCGGGCACTGAAAGATTCTTATTCTTTTACAGGCGCTCGCCCCCGCACCCGCTTCCACCACGCCCCAGCTTTGGTGAGACTAACTCCACCCCATTTTCCTTCCCCTACCCGCAAATCCCCCACCCCTCAATTCCCGAGAGTCTGAGCCCTTGCTGGGAGCAGACAAGTTGGTCACCTTCTCTCAATCCTTCAGCTCTATCCCCCCCACATAGCTCCACTTGCGAAAGCCGAGTCCCAGAGGCCGGTAAAGGAGAACCCTAAGCTGCCCGAGGACCTGGACCAGGAGCCGGTAAGGAAGGACTGGGGGATGGGAGGGGCTGGTCAGGACCCCCAAGGGTGGGCCAAGAAAGACGGAGGCTTGGGTCCCCAAGGGAGTTAGACTGGTGAGTCCTTCCTGCCTCGTTCCCCACCTTTCAGAGCCTGCTCTACGCAGACCTGGACCACATGGCCCTCAGAAGGCCCTGCAGGTTGTCCCCAGTGGTCCCTACTGATGCCTCCACCATCTATGCAGTTGTGGTTTGAAGAGAAGCCCATTCTCCAAACTTTGAAAACTGGGGGCTCCAGTTCTGCATAAGCCCCCTCTACTTCTTGGCCCCTCACCCAGAAAAAGAAGGGACCATGGGATAGAAACGAGCACTAGACTAGGAGTCAGGAACTCCCAAACTCTCTCTGCTACTGATCTTGCTCCTCCAGTTACCCCATCTCTCCTTTCATTTCATGTCATCTTCCCCATTGGTGTCCCCTCTAAACCTGACCCAGTCCTGTCTCCCCATCTTAACACACCATCTCCCAGAGGGTTGCCTTATCTCTTCCCTTCCCCCCACAGTCAAGCTTTTTGAATCAGGGGTCACACCTGTCTCTTTCATTTCCACGTCACTCCCATTACTCACTGAAACTGCTCATCCGATCTCAGTGAGGTCACCAGGGATATCCTAATGACCACACCCCGTAACATCTTTTTAGCATTTATCTGAGCTTGTCCTTTGATTACTCTGTACTTCAAGTTCTGTTTTTCTTTAATGTCCTTCTTTCTGGACTCTTCTTCCTTGCTTCCCGCCACCATAGTATTTCTCACCATTCTAGGTTTGTCCCCTTCTTTATCTGCTTTCCCCTTCTTCTGGGAAGCTGTTATCCATGGCCAGCTCTCAGCCCTCACCTCTGCAAACAGTATTCTCTCCGGTTCTTTCAGATATGGGATTTCCAAACGGTCCTGGGGACATTCCTATCTGGATGGCCATGGGCACTTTTGCCCGCAGCATGTCCAAAACCCAACAATTTGTCATCTCTAAAATAACTCACTTAATCCTCCTTTGCTTTCTCTTTTTGATCAACTCAGTTGCCTCAGCCAGAAACCAGGAATCATGCAGACCTCTTTCCTCCCACACAATAAACAAAGTCCTGTCTTCTTATTTTATTTCTTCCTGTTTTAATGTCACTGTCAAACCCATACCTTTCTTCATGCTCAGTGCTGCACCTCAATGTATTGCAGTTTTCCTTTCCTCCCTGGACTATCCATAGCCCTACCTCATTTTCCTGCCCTTGCTTCCTCCCTGAGGCCAGAGAGATCCTCTCCACATGCCCACCTGTTCCTGACAGCCAGTATTTTGGAACTTCAGTATTTCTCTCCTAAGCCTTCAGCTCTAGGCCCATGGACCTTGGTCTGGGGATAGGTCTCACAGTTCTCTCCGGCTTATCTCTGGCACTCCACAGGCGCACAGCACACTGGCCTTTGGTGAAGTTCTCTATGGCCCCAAACACGCCTTTGCCCAATGCAGTTCCTTCCTCCTGGATTACCCTTTTCCTGCTCCCCCTATCACCCCTTCCCCCATCTGCCTGGCTAATTCTTATTTACCCTCAGGACTCAGTTCAAGTGTAGCCTTTTCTGGAAAACCATTTCTGACCCTCTTTGCCCACACTGGCATACACTTTGGTGCCCCAGAGAGCCCCTTATTTCTAACAATAGCCTCCTGTGAATTATTCCATTACAACCTGTATTTCAATTTATAAACAAGTTTTTTGTGTTGTGAATTCACTGATATCAGGAGACTGACCCCTTTCATATCATGGCTAAGCTTCAGTAAATGAGTGAATGAAAATGAATATCCTCGAAAGCATTATTTCTTCCCCTCTGTAAACTAAGGGTGGATGGGCAATCTACCAGTCACTGATTCATCTGACTTTAGTGTGCTAACTTTAAATTCAGCATATGATCCACTCATCTACTCTATTCTCTGCCCTGAACATGCTCCCAGCAATAGAAATTCTGTCCTGTCCATCTTGTACCCCAGCATCTATAATGGGCCTGGTCAATGAGTCAGTTAGTGCCTAATGACAGTTTGATGAATAAAAGAGCCACCCTCAGGTTTCAGCCCTGCCCATATCCCTCTGCCCCAGTAAGACACCAGCCACAGCCCACGCTAAAAGATCAGTTCTATTTTATTAGTTTTGGGGAAGAAGACTCACCTAGTGGTCTCTATCCTTTTTCCTACACTATGCCCACACTCCATCTTGGGGCCCTCTCCCCACTATTACCTATTCACCATCCTCTACCTAGCTCTCCTTCCCCTCTGCTCATATGCTACCCTACCCCTGGCCAGCCAGGACCCCCCAGGCTAGGCCCTCAGCTACGGGGGCGTGTGCTGAGCACCAGGCAGAGGGAGCTGAGCCCAGCGCCTGCCTTCTCCAGTTCTGAGCAGGACACAGGTACCAGGGTGACATCAGAGAGCTTCTGCAATGCCTGCAGGGAGGACATGGAGTGGGAGAGGAGAGTAAGACCCCAAAGCTACAGTTAGGTCCCCCTTCCAGTCAGCTCACCCAGGTTTCAAGAGAAAGTACTCTTCCTTCCTCCCACTAAGAAGGCCTGAGTCTCCTTTCTCTGCTTGGTGGTGATGGTGGAGCTCCTGCCTCCCCTTACCTCCTGGCTGTTGGGCAGGTCCCCACCTCCACGGTGCAGGAGGAAAGGGGGCACACCAGGCAATCCTGGACGCAGAAAGAGACAGTCAGCAGCTGCATCATCTGGGAGGGTCAGGGAGGCATAGGGGTGATCTGTCAACACTGCCATTGCCTGGGGAAAAGGAAGAAGGAAGTGCTCAGGCCTCAGAGCCTCTCTCCACTATGGAGTCTCGCTGCCCTAACACCACTAAAGGTTGGGACAGAGCCACATTTATGGAATCATAATGACAGCATGTGCATAGTGTTCGCCATGTGTCAGCCAATCTTCTAAGAGCTTTCTTAAATCTTTACTAGTTCCCACCTCTACTCACATGCAGTTCTTTCCACTTGCAACCCATTTCCCTTCTCCCACCTATTCTTTTCATCTATCCTTCATGTCACAGCTTAGATGTCACCTTTGGGGAGCTTCTTGAAACTAGGAAGACAATATTAATCACCCCTTTTATGGGGTCGCACTATAGCAACCATTTGTCTTTACACTAGATGGATGGCTCAGTGAGGGCAGGGGTTGGAGCTAGTTCTCTGAATCTCCCTACTCCCCAGGACCCACCCCCACCCTGAAGCCCCGCCCACACTCACTGGCCCCGCCCGAATTGCCCAGCTGAGCCCCGCCCCTCCTCACCCTGACGGCCTTTTGTGCAGCGTCGCTGCTACCAGCCACCACAGTGCGGGGTCCCCCCATGCCACAGAGGCCCCGCAGGTGGGAGGGGCTCGAGACTGGCACTGTGGAGACCGCGAAGTCCTAGGGAGAAGAAAGGAAAGTAAGGACGCAAGAGGGTTGAGGGGATACCCTCAAACACAGGCTGCTCTCGGCCTCTCCCTCCTCAGCGCCCCCCTTCCGACTCCAGTCTGCAGCCGGGAGTCTGCCGCGGAGTCTGCAGCCGAATTCGCATCCCCTACCAAGGCTGGCCCGGGTCCTCACCCGGAACGTGTCGGCCACGATCTCTGCTCCTCGGTGATTGGTCCATTTGGAGAGGCCTACGAAAAACTCCCGGCCTGAGCCCGGAGGCCAGAGGTTGGGAGGGAGGGAGGGAGTGGGAAACAAGGCTCGAGATGGCCCATTCTCCCAAACCCTGCTTTCCTGTGCGAAGCCCCGAGAGTGCAGGCACCCCAGCCTCACCGGTGAAGAGCACATCAGTGCCATCCAGAGTCGCGTTCTCGTCTGTCATCTCCACAATTCGGAGCCCGAGGTCCTGGAGGGCTTTTCGAACTCCATCGACCTTAGGGCGGACGAGGAAGCGGGTTGAGATATTCTCACCTCCAAGTCTTCCTTAAAGCCGGATGTCTGCTTTTCTCCCCCGCACCCCTCCAGCGTCCGGGCACTCACCTCCGGCCTGCGGGCGGGGCTCCAGGGCCGCGTGATTAGGGCTGTGTCCCCTTGGATCACGGCCGTGTCACCAAGCAGCGGTCCCAGCGGCAGAGACTCTTCAGGAGGCAGTTCTAACAGCTGCAGCCCTAATCGCTGCCTCAGTTTACCCCCCAGCACCCCATGCTCCCTCTGAGCTTTGGCCAGGTCCAGAGCCGGGAGGCCAGCTCCCCCACCCTCTCCCGACGCCAGGCTCTCCGGGACCCCCCGGATCAGGGCATGGGAGCAGCGGCCCAGCCCCTCCCCCTGTGTCCCCATCCCATTCACACAAACGTCCCCTCCGGCCGCGCTGGTTTCTTAGTTTTTCTCTTTACTTCACCTGTCTGGGAGAAGAGACAGAAAGTGGGGAGGCAGAGAAAGAGACATGCAGAGAAGGGCGTGGGGGGTGGGTGGTTAAGAGCACCCGGGTCTTCCTCCAGTAATCTCCCGGCGCCCCTCCCACTGCGCCCCACCCCCTCCAGACCTTCCTCTCCTGCAGACCCTACTCTACCCCGCACCCTGGCGGGTCTGTTTCTTTAGGGAGAGTCCGAAGAACAAGACCAGGATCCCTGATCTCTAAAACACCTGTTGCCCCTGCTCGGGGGCTTCGTGAGGTCCCTGCCGGGAGCCCCTCTTGGCAGCCGCTAGGATGCGCTCACTCCCCAAAAATGCAGCTGTCCCGCCCCCTTAACCCTCAGCTGGTCGAGGCCGTAAGGACCCGAAGTGCGGCGAGGGACCCACAGAGGTTATGGGACAGAAGGGAACAGCTGGGGAGAGTCAGGGCCTGGGGGGTGCAAGTCCGGAGTGTTCGAATGAGAAAGCGAAAGAGGGGCTACGGGGGAAAATTAGAGTCTAAAGAGTTAAACATTCTCTCCACCCCGGACGGTCACGCTGCCCCTAAAGCGACCCAGTACAAACCAGACCGTGTCCCGGAGGACTGGGAGAGGTCTGCAGTGTAGACCGGGGTGGGGGGGGGGGCGTGGTTCCGGGGAGCGACGCCACTCAGTGCTCCAGAACCTGGTCCCCTGGTCTCCCGGTCCATCTTCCCCCAAAGTCCATCCTACTCAGCTCCGCACCCAAATGTCTTCTCCCCGCACTCTGTCCAGTGCAGGTGCGGTCCCAGCCCCCACCCCCAAACTCCAGCCCCGGCACGGTCCAAGGGGACACCTCCACCCCAGACTCACCTCCAGCAGCTACCCCCACGCCAGCCGTTCTGTGATCGTGGCTGGGGCCCCACCCCCCTAAGGTCAGAGTTGAGGAAGAAAGGAGCCCTAGTCTTCAAGCCTAGGGGACTGGAGCTCTAGCTTTTGAGGGGTCCCTGGGTAGGCGAGCTCAAGAATTACAGTGGGGCGGGGGCGCGATGGTCTGGCGGCTCCCGGGCATTGTCTAAGCGGGACGGGGCGGGGTCCAAAAGGCCACGCCCATTCCGCCTCGCCATGCCGCGCCCACTCCACCGGGACTGAGCTCCCCCTGCTCTGAACTCCGCCCCGCCCCAGCAATGCTGCCCAGGCCCACCCGGATCAGGCGGGCCCTGGCGGCTGGGCTGCAAATTCGACATGGACAAGACTGCGCTGTGGTGGACCGGCGCTGAAACTGGCAGTCCTATCACAAACACCCCCGTTCTAAATTCCTGACTTCTGCCTGGGGCTCAAGGTCACTGACCCATCCTTCCACTTACCCACATTTCAAGTCCCCTTTGTATAAAAAACAACAGATTTTCTTTCTGTATTTTATTATTGAAACGTCCACCCCACCCCACAATAAAAACACCCATACCCCCATCCTTTCCTCTAACCCCCAGCCAGCTCAGCACAATTGCTCCATGTCTTGCTTCCAAGCTGTTCTGCAGTCTGTCCATTGGATAGCATATGGAGCCTTTGTGGAAAAACCAGAATGGGGTCAGGGAGCAACGAGGGGTTTATTTGAGGGCCTTGGCCACTTGCTCATAGGCAAGCTCGATTTCCTCATCATCTGGACAGGTGGAGGCAAATTCTTCCCGAGCATAGGCATTGCGCAGGTACCGATGTACTCCCCGGAAGGCCTCAGGGATGGAGAACCCCCGGTACTTCTTACATACCACCTAAGGGAGAGGAGAAACACATTAGGAGCCACTCTGATTCCCTGCTGTTGGGCTTTCTCTTCTTTCCAGGTCTGTACATTGAATATCTAGACTTTCCAGGGCCTCCATGCCCTTCTTCCTATAATTCTCATCTCTCTTCAGTCATTTTCTTCCAATCAACTTAGCTCCTCACTGTCTTGTAATGACTGCATCTTTTCGCTCCACTTACTGAAATGCTGGCCAGCTACCTACCTATCTATCTTTTTAAATTTCTGTTACTCACAGCAGTTACAACCAGCCCCTTTTCAGACCTCCATTCCATAGGGCTGCCTTTCTCCTTTTGATTTTGATAGGATACACAAAGCATTGAAAAAATTCTCTTGAATTTCTACAGTGAGTTGTTTCCTTTTTTCATTTGGCTTTTTATTTTTTAAAAGATTTATATATTTATGTATACAAGAACTGGGGTACAGGCCAGAGGTGTGGAGGGTGAGAGGATTCACCAGAGACAGAGTGGGGGGCAGAACAGGCAGACTGACTGAAATACACTGCTGAGGGTAGCAGTGGGCAAGTCAGGAGAGGTCTGCTGTGCCATGTGGGTAGCTCCCTGGCCACACCAGAATTGGAACTTGTGCTGCAGTGGCTGTGGACAGCTTCATAGATTGCATCTTAATCCCTTGTGCCACCAGGGAGGCCCCTTCATTTGGCTTTTTTTTTAAAAAAGATTATTTATTTATGCATACAAGAGCTGGGGTACAGGCCAGAGATGTGGAGGGTGAGAGGATTCACCAGAGACAGAGTGGGGAACAGAACAGGCAGACTGAGCAAAATACACTGTTGAGGGGAGCAGCAGGCGAGACAGGAGAGATCTACTGCACCATGTGGGTTGCTCCCTGGCTGGTTGGGGATCGAACTCATGCTGCAGAGGCTGCGGATTGCTTCATAGCGTGGGGCTTAACCCCTTGCGCCACCAGGAAGGCCCTCATTTGGCTTTTTAATCATGTATTCACTTTCATGTGAATGTTTTATATTTTTGGCTAGATTTAAATCCCTTGAGGGCAAGAAAGGACCAATCACCACATGTCTGTGACTTTCAGTGCCCAGTACATATATAGTTCAATATATAGTTTGGCAGGCTGGCACTGGGCCCATGTTTCACAAATTAAACCATAGTTTTGAGGCTATGACAAAAAACACAGGAACCAGAGTTTTTAATCTTCCATAAGAGGAAGTGGAGACCAAAGCTATAAAGAGTTAGTCTTGATTTTAGGAAAGGCCTGCTGTCTGATCCGGGAATTCAGTGAAAAAGACAGGAAGATGTATTGCTCTCCACCAGTCTGTTGGTGTCATGGATGTAATTCTCTAACAGTGGTTTTGCTAGTGATGGCTGCTGAGAATGAATGGGGTAATATATATTACCAGTAGCAATGTGGAATCCATTCTAAGAAAGAAACTGCCTTTTGAGTGGTTGTCATGGGAAGCCATGTGGGAGCCCCTTATAGAGCCAACCCAGGGGGCCTCCCTGATGGTACAGGGATTAAAGCCTGTTCTGCTCCCCATTCTGTCTCTGGTGAATTCTCTCACCCATCCCGCACCTCTGGCCTACAGCCCAGTTCTTAAATGCATAAATAAAAAAAAAATAATATATCTTCAAAAAAGAAAAAAAAAATAAAGAGCCACCCCAGGGCCCCCTGGTGGCGCAGGGGTGAAAGTCTCAGTGATATCAAGCTATCATCACCAGCCCACTGAGGCATGAGTTCAACAGCTGGCCAGGGAGCTGACCCACATGGTACAGTAGACCTCTCCTGTCTCGCCCACTGTCCCCCCTCAGCAGTGCATTTCAGTAGATCCGCCTGTTCTGCTCCCCACTCTGTCTGTGGTGAATACTCGCACCCCCCTCCACACCTCTGGTCTACACCCCAGTTCTTATAAAAATAAATCTCCTTTTCTAAAAAAAAAAAAAGCGCCACCCCAACAGTCACCCTCTCCACAATGACCACCCACCTGTACTATGTGGAGCTTTGGCAATAGGTTGCAGTCAGCCAGAGTGAGCTCATTGCCATCCAGAAACTTCCTCTGAGAGATGCCCTCATCCTCAGCACTGGTCTCATCTACTTCATCTGGGAGGGGGGATGTCAAATAATTGTCTAAAATTTTCAGCGCTTTCAGGAGCCCCTTCTCCAGATCTGTGCAAGAAAGGAAAATTGGCAAAAACATCAGATTGATACAGCTGAGGGGAGTTGGGAGCTGCGAATTCCAATGGTGAAGCTGGTCTAAAATGGTAACAGCTAACACTAATGCATTTTCTATGTTTTACGCTAAGCACGTTACATACAAAAAACACTCACTTAATTCTCCTATCAACCCATGAACTAGGTATTTATTATCCTCATTTCATAGATCTGGAAACGGATTTACAGAGAAGTTAAATGAACAGCCCAGAGCCACACAGCTGGTAGCATTTGCACTAGGTAGCCTGGATCTAGAATTACTGTTCTTAAGCACAACCTTATTTAGCCAGAAATAGGCCCATAGTCAATCCAGCTAATGTTTTCAGTGGGGCAAGAAAGGCTAGGGAGCAAATGAGCAAAGCTTAAAAATTCACCACCAAAGAGAATGCAAGGAAAGATGGTGTTTGCTGCAACAACCAGCAGAGGATGGCGCAGTTGTGCCAGTATCTGCTCCATCTCCCTGATACGTAAATTTTCAGGTACCCCTATTATCTCATCTCCCAGTTCCTGGATGTTTTCCATTCCTCCTGGGGCCCAGGCTTCCAACCCACAAGACTCACTGTCATTGAGTGCTGGGTTTGAATTCTTGATGTAAGCAGAAAATTTGGCAAATATGTCCAGCCCAGCTGTGTTGGATTCAGGGTTCAGAGCTGCCAGCTTGGGGTACCTGAGAGCCAATGAAAGAAACAGGATGAGGTATCTTCCAGGGAGCGGCCTCAGTAACAGTGCAATCCCCCCACTACCTATTTTTCACATCTTCAACCTTCCTCTTTCCCAGTCTCCCAGGTGTCTCCTCCCCTTCCCGAGTGCCCCCATACTTGGGCGGGGACAGCACTGCCTCCAGAAATTCCTCAATCTTGTTGGTGTCAGTATGCACTTCATTGCCGTATAGCAGGAATGGAAGCTGCCCTCCTGGGCACAGCTTCCGGACAGTCTCGGTTCGCCTGGAGAAGAGGCCACGCATCAGGACAAGGAAAGGGGGTCAGAGAACCCCAGAGAAAAGGAAGATGGAAGGATGTGAGAAGACAAAAGGGTTCCGGGTGGAGAGGAAAGATTCATCGGGATGCTAAGTTCAGGGGTGTGTGTGTGTGTGTGTTTGTGTATCTGAATACACACACACTTCTGTTTAGAGGAACAGAAGTGGACCCACCTTTTGGTGTCTACCGTGGTGACATTGAAGGTGACTCCCTTGAGCCAGAGCACCATGAACAGTCTCTGAGAGAAGGGGCAGTTCCCAATCTTTGCTCCATCACTGCCAGCCTGAAAGGCAACCCCCAACCCAAGGTTAGGTCTGGTGCACCCACCTCTACCCCAGGCCATTCATTCTCTGCACTCCGGCTCCCAGACCTGGCTGTTTTCTGCCTGGTGACACTCACCTATCTCTCACCAAACTGGGCTCTCTACCCTGGAGCTGGGCCACACTTAGCACCTAGCATAGATGGACAGCAATCTTTTCTATAAAGATCTGCTTCTGACTTTCGAGAGAGTGGAGGACAGGTAGGAGGAGGGCAAAGAGTTCTGGAAAACTTGGAGGATCTGGCCCCTAGAAGAGGGAAAACTAACAGTAATGTAGCTTTCTATATACTATTCTCAGCACTTTACTACATGCAAAAACTCACTTTTCACATCAACCCATGAGACGGTCCCTAGGAAGGTATTTGATGAAGGCAAAGTTGTAGGGGAGAAGAATATGGGGAGAAGAATATGGGGACAAGCCGGTGGGCAGGGTTTGGAAGCCAGAGTTCTGGTTTTCTGTATGCCTCCAGCCAAGCTGTTTCTGGCAGCTAGATGGGAGAGTTAAGGGGCTCAAAGCCTGGCCCTAGAGATGTGGACTACCCAAGGGGGGCACCTTCTAATTGGCAGGTGGTGATCTCATCCCCTGAGGGATACCTCCCCCCTAGGCGGAAGGTGATTCATCTCGATTCATCTCGTAAAGTCTCCCTCCAGCCCCAGGAACTTCCTTCCTGGCAAGGAGTGGGGGCAGGGACCTGTGAGGCTGCTGCCGGGCAGCCAAGGCCACTCCCTCTTCCCCAAGCCTGGACAGCTGGGGTCTCAGCACAACTGCCCTGGCTCCAGAGTCCCCTCCTCACACAGGATGTAGGGTCAGAGGCTGCAGTGCAGCCTCACCCAGGAGTAAAAAATAGCCCTTAAGGCCAGTGTGAAAGTGAGATGGGGACCACACCTAAGGGGGTGGACCCGGCCTGGCTGGACTTCACTGGGCAGGGACCAGGGAGTGGGAATGGCTGCCCAAGTAGTGCCAGCATAATGGAGAGGGAAAGACTGGCAGGAACACACAAAGCTGGGTTGAACAAAAGGGAGGAAGTGGACATATTGGTCAGGAAAGTGAAGGGTGCAGAGAAGTGCACCAGATGGCGGCCCAGAGGGAGCCAGCGAGGGGTGCAGAGATGAGGGAGGGGGCACAAAACAGCAATTAGTGGGAGGGGAACAGCAGAAATGGCAAAGTCTGTCTGAGCCTGTAACACCCGAAATACCAAGGGGACCACCACTCCAGATCTCACCCACAGAGGGGAGAGAGCCAGGGCAGCTTTTTCCTCTGCTTCTACAATCCCCAACTTCCAGCACTCTGTCTCCTGCCCCCCACCCTTACCCCCCACCCTCACCCCCCAGCCCTGTGGTAGCCACAGCTCCCCTCTCATCACCTCCTTTGCTCTGCTTGCTCAAGTTGCTGGATATGCCTTATCCCCTCCATCACCTCTCCAGCCCACTCTCCTCTGGGCTTCCACCTCACAGGTCTTCCCAAATGACCCCCTCCCACCCCAGGCCTCCCTCACCACACCCTCTTCCTGGAAACCTCCCTACTACACACACCCACACACCCACGCCTCCCAGTCTCCCCTCATTCTCTGATTGTGGTGTAGGGTCGAATGCCATGATGTCTTCATGTTTCTTTACAAGATGTGAAGTCTTCTGTGTCAAGACTGCTTCTCTCCAGGTCCCTTTAAACAGCTTGCCTCGGCCACCCCCGCCGCGGCCAATCTCCACTCCTGAGTGCCCCCTTTTCTCTACTTTCCTGTCCTTTAGGCTGCTGGAAACTTCATTTCTACAAACTTTTCCGGGTTGAGCTAGAATTCTTATTCCCTGCACACAAATCAATGCTCTTCCCCTGAGGGGGGGAAGGCCAGCTGGGGGGGGGGGCTACTTCCACACCTAAGATTGCTCGTGGGGCTGGGGGTCAAGGAGAAACGGGATTAGGGAATAAGGCTGGCGTTGGGGAAAGGTGAGAGTCGCCTTCCAGGAATTTGGAGGGTGGCCTAGGAGGGAGAGGTACTTACCTTCACGAACAACTCGACCTGCGGTTGCTCCTCAGCCATGGTAGCGAGAGCTCCAGGAAGCGGCCGGAGCGGGGGGAACTGGGAGGGGCTGAGGCCGGGAAGGCGGGTCTCTGAGGCCGGGGCTCTCCACCCAGACCTCAAGCTCTCTATTTGGCTCAACACAGGACCGATCGGACCCCTTCACTCCAGACGTGGGCTCCCCACCAGTTCAGTACCTCCAGCTCTATCCCCTCCCGGGCAAGATCGGGGCGCAGCTGACTCACCGACCGGCCCCGCCCCGAACCTGGGGAGGCGGCTGGAGGGGGCGGGACTCGACGGCTGGGGAGTGGGTCGGGTGGGCAGAACCTCGGGTCTTCCAGAGGGTGGGGATGGGATGCTAAGGGGAGGGAAGCCGGGAAACCTTGTTTCTCAGCCAGTCCCCTTGAACACAGGACTGTTTTTCTGCCTCAGTTTCCTTGCTTCATCAGCCAGAGGACACTCCCACCTCACTCTCACACAAGAAACGTGATACCAGCAGCTCGGACATTTCCACGTGGGCACGGAGAGGGAATTTTAGAACCGCAAGGTCGTCGATTGCTCTTTTTTTCTTCGTTTCTTCTGGACTGTAGTCCACATTCTGGGTTGTTGGGCTTATGGATCGAGAGGGGAACTTGGAATGGAAGCTGGAGTTGGGGGAAGAGTGGTGAAAGGTAGGGCAGGGATGGAAGGGAGACAACCAGGCCTTGTGCTAGGGAAACGGGGCGCAGAGCTAAGTGGCCTGGTACGGAAGGGAGGGGGGCATGTCATTGCTGCTGCTTAGCCTGGTGAGATTTAATGCTTCCACTTCTGCCCCAGACATCTGATATATGGGGGCCTCTTCCTGTGCACCTTGCTCTTTTCTCACTGACAAGTTGCCTAAGCGATGGGGTGGAAAGGTGGGGTTACTGTGGTCCTAGAACAGAGCTGCACTGCTCTTAAGGGTAATGGGGAAGCAAAGATCAAACAGAATGGTATGAGTGGCCTTTTTGGGGACACTTATCTGAGGAAGGGAGGTCAAAGCAGTTTGATTTCCTAGGACTCTCTTTGCTCTAACTGGTCAATAGCCTTGATTTTGGAGCTTCTCGTCAAACTATGATATACTAAAAAAAAAAAAAAATAGCCCAAGAACATGTCCTCCAAACTGGATGTATTCCAGCCTCCACATCTCAAATCTCTCTTTTGTCCCACCACCTCTTCTCTTTTTCACTACCGTCCGAGACCTCCAGATCCAGAAAAATATGGTGATGTGTGAGGACTGAGGAGCAAAACAAGGCTTGCAGCTTGAGGAAAGGGGGAGGAGGGGAGAAGAGAGACGCTGGAAACTAGCAGTTAGTGGTTTCCTCTCGTGCTTCCTCTTCTGTGGGTTTTCCCCTCCCTAGGGGAAGGCCTATCTCTCCTCCCTAGAGAGGGGATATATTTGGTGCTTGCTCACTTGAATTGTAACATCCTATGAGGATGTAGACTGATGCCATGAGTTTCTGTGTGTGTATGGGAGCAGGGAGTTCTCCATGGGTGACCTTCAGAATCTGCACACAGGATTTCTTCTATCGGTGGAAGGGAGGTCAAAGCAGTCCTACTTCTGAGCTGGCCAGTAATTGCCAGAGTATCTGCCCCACAAAGATCTCCCCTCTGGGAGAAGCCTGAGGCAAGTGGGGCCGGCCTTGAGCTCAAACAGGTTTGGCAGCCTCTCCCCTGCCTCTCTTTTCTCTCCTACTGCTTTGCAGCTGCAGCTGCCTTAATCATCAATATTGACTTTGGCTGGCTGGTTTGACTACCCAAAGGTATTTCTGCGGTAATTTCCCAGATGACAGGTAATGCTGCCCTCTCCTGGCTCCAGCCAGCAGTGTCCCATGGATTTAAAGCCAGGAGCTGAACTTTGAAATCCTGCATCAGAAAACCCTCCTAGCTCATCTCCTTGTCCCACTTAACTATTCTCCTATCTCAGTGTCTCCCTTTCTTCCTGCTTCTTTTCCCTCCCTCCCCTTCCTCAGCTCGGTAATCTCTTCCCTAATCTCTTTCCACCCCTGAATGGAAGGTGTGTCCCTCCCTGACACTCCTTAGAGCCTCCTCCAGGTTTCCATTGCTCAACAATTTGCCAGGGGTAACCATTAACCCAGGATTTAACTCACTTCCCCTCTTTCTTGGAACAGAGGATTTTCCAATCATTGACTAGCAGAAACACCTTACACCCTCTTACCCCCACCATCTTTCCTAACTCCTTTTATGGGTTCTTCCCATCTCAGGGCACCCCGAACAAAGCTGGGGAGAAAGATGTATTTTAATTAATCTGTTTTTTTTTGGGGGGAGTGCCTATAGATATGTTTATTTCTGTTTCCCTCACAATGTCCCTGCTTCTCCCTTCATACACACATACACTCCCGGGTGGCACCGCGGTTGAGCGCTGGGTTGCGAAGCTGCCCGCGGCCTCTGCGACCCCGGTTCGATCCCCGGCTGCTCCCTGGCTGCTCCCCTGCTGCTCCCCAGCCAGGAGGGTCCCACATGGCACGCATCCCTTTCCTGCCACTCGCAGTGTACTTCGGTCCTTCTGCCTGCTCTGGTTCTGGTGAATTCTCTCACCCTCCCGCGCTTCTGACTGTACCCAGTGCATGTATAAGCAAAACAAACAAACAAATAAATAAAACATGCCTCTATTAAAAAAAAAAAAAAAAGCTTCATGGAACAGGGACTTAATTATGTTCATGGCTTTGAGATCACCCCCTCTCCCCAGAATAGACCTTATATACATAGTTACTCCATGAATGAATGAAACCCTCACTATACTTGGGAGGAGGGTAATCTTTGCATGTCCAGAGGAGGGTATGGCAGGGTCCTGGTAGTGCTGCAGTGGTTCTTATCAGTTGTGCTTTCCTCTACTGGAATTTGGTGTAATTCAAATACTTCCTTCCTCTTTCTCTTGGGAGTTCAAAATGATAATTTTGCCCTAAGTGTTCATGTGGGTGGGTTTGTACTCTATGTCCAGGAAACTGGCAAAGAGGGTCTGAGATAGGAGTCTTAATTCTTTCTGCCTATTTATGTAAGATACTCAGGTAGGGGCCTCCCCATTGGCGCAGCGGGTTGAGCGCAGCGCTGTGAAGCTGTCTGCAGCCTCTGCATCGTGCGTTCGATTTCCGGCCGGCCAGAGAGATACCCACATGGTGCAGCAGACCTTCCGGTCTCATCCGCTTCTCCCCTCAGAAGTGCTTTCGGTCCATCTGAATGTTCCGCTTCCTGCTCTGTCTCTGGTGAATCCTCACACCTCCGCCCTCTGGCCTGTACCCCAGCTATTGTATAAATAGAAAATAAATCTTAAAAAATAAATTACAGACTTAAAAAAATAAATAAAAAAAACACTCAGGTAGCTCTACTTTCTGTTTGCCAGGCACTGTTCTAAGTTCTTTATAAATATTAACTCAGAGGGTACAAATATTAACTTAGAGTTGTTGGCTCAGATTGAATTAATGTTGCTTATCTCCACTCTCCAGAAAAAACAAACAACTCGCCTCTGGCCCTTTAAGACCGTCTACCTCCCTAGAGGCCACAAAGCCCCTGGAGCGCTTCCCGAGGTCGACCGCCCCCTCAGCTTCCCCCTCTCGCAAGCTCCACCCCGTGTCAGTCAAAGCCCACAAACCCAGAGAGTCTGAGGCCCGGATGCTAAGCAACGGTAAAAGGCGGGAAATTTGAACGCTCTGGCACCGCCCCATATGCTAATTGGCCAATCAGCGCCCTATCTTCTCAACGACTGCCCCCTTCCTCTCGCCCTATTGGACGTATAGGTAGGAGCTGAGTCTCTCTGACCAATGACTAAAGAAGACGGGTTTACGCGCACACATCACGCCTGCCCACGCGCCGGCACGCCCGTCCCGCAGGCTAGAGACTGCGCGAGTGAGGAAGTCGCGCGCACGTTGCAACCCAGGTGGCCTGAAAAGGCGGGAAAACGCCGCGCGTTGTCCGCTGCCAGCGGCGCGGTCGAGAAACTAGGCTGCGGTCGTGGAGACGTGGTTGGTTGGGGCAGAGATAAGACGCGCCCCACTCGCCCCACAGGGCGCCCTAACCCCCCAAAGTACAACCTCCGCGCGACAGAAGTGAGGGTGGGGCGAGGGGGGGTTTCTACAGCCCGTGCGGGCGTGAGAGACGCGAGAAGTCGCCCCTTCAAAGTTAAACCCTAAACGCCGCCGCGGCCCGCGCCCCGGCCCCGCGGACGCGCCCACACTTGCATTAATGCGCGCCCCCTCCCCCGGCCCGCCTCGCCCCGGCGGGCGCGCTGGCCGCTCAGCCGTCTCCTGTTTCCGCGCCCGCAGGGCCGCCAAGGCCATGGCCTCCTTCGCGGCGACCCCGGGCAGGACGCAGCAGGGACCAGACCCCGGGCGGGCCGCGGCCGGCTCCCCCCGCTCAGCCCCACACCCCGGCCTCGGAGCTGCGGACGACGACGAAGACGAGGAGGAGCCGGCCGAGGTGTCGGGCGAGGATGTCGGCCAATCGGGACAGCGGGGAGGGGACGGGGGCGGCCGGAGTTACGATAAGAAGGGGGCTGGGCCGAGCGGGGTGAGGCGCGGGCCTCGCGGAGCTGTGCTTCCTAGTTATGAAAGGGGGTGGTGCTGCCTGAAGAGAGTGATAAAATGATTAAGCACAAACCTGAGGGAGCGCTTCAAATAGTGGTTTCTTGTCTTCCTCGCCCGACAGATCCATCTGTGTGTGCTGTGGAACTCGGGGTTCTTGGGCCTGGCCTACTATGACACAAGTGACACCACCATCCACTTCATGCCAGATGCCCCAGATCAGGAGAACCTCAAGCTTCTCCAGAGAGGTGGGGGCAGAACCATGAACTCCTCTGCTCTGGGGCTGCAAGTGTATTTCACTTCTGTGCCCTTTCTGGACTCAATTGCTTTTGTTAATGGACTCCCATAGTACCCCTCTGTGGTTTTAGGACTTCATTTCATTATTCAACAAATATGTATTAGGTGTTTAAAATTAAGTGCCAGGGGCCTCCCTGGTGGCACAGGGATTAAAGGCTTAGCTTTATCAAGCTATCACCAGCCACTGCGGCATGAGTTCCATCCCCAGACAGGGAGCTGATCCACATATGGCACAGCAGACCTCTCCTGTCTCACCCACTGCGCCCCTTAGCAGTGTGTTTCAATAGGTCCACCTGTTATGCTCCCCACTCTGCCTCTGGTGAATCCTCTCACCTCCACCCCCACATCTCTGGCCTATGCCCCAGTTTTTACATGAATAAATAAATCTTAAAA